AGTTGTACATATCATAACGAAAGGTCAACTATGGAATTAAAAAAAGTATGATTTATATTATTAATTATTTACTAACATTTATATTTCTTATTATTATTACAAAGAATTTTTAACTATTTACTATTTTATATAGAGGGAGGGAGGTGTCAAAATGGTACCATTATTTTTTTTCATTTACCAATCGATAAAGTAAAGCAAGTGAAGCAAAATCAGCTACAAACATTTTTTTCATCATTTTCTTAGGGGTCCTATTTACCCCCCCCCCCCCCCGTCCTTATTAAATGTATAGATATTATTTATAAATCAGACTAGGCTTAATAATATTTACTTACCTAATTTATATTAATAATAAAATGAAATAGTTTAAATACATTTTAATTATATTTTTATTTACCAATTATGTATCATTAATTTATTACAATTATTAAAATTTAAACGTAAGGGGGATTTTTTGTAATTTTTATTATTAATATCCTTCTTGTTCCTCATCCTCTGGTCGCTCTACTTGAATTTCGAATTAATTATCGTCATCCTCATTGTCAGTTACATTTTCTTCTTCGAGATCATTTGGTATGATGAAGCTTGTCCATTACACTGACCACAAGCTAAGGAGCACTGCAACTCTGATTTTCTGCATATACAACTCCCAACACAACTCCCAACACAACCTTTCTTGCAATTATTGCAAAATGTTGTATTGAGCAGTTCGTCTGTTGCTGGCGGTAATAATGTTGCTATTGGTTTCAGCATTTTATTTTGCAGTGTCCATCCCCATTCCTGGGGCTCTAACTTATTCCCTAACATAATTTGGATATGATAATAGACACGAGTGATATGCTGTCCATCTGCTGCACTTATAAGTGGAAGAGTTGATAACTGTACCGGTTTGTTAAGCCTTGTTCATTTTTTGATGAATTGCGTATATTTAAAATTGTCAATATTGTTTTCTGATTTTGAAGCATTATAAATTGCTAAAAAGACACGTGTACTCTATTTTTAAACAATATTTCTACAGATTAGTTTTCTTGATGGAATGCTTGAGCTAACTGATCCAAATTGTAAAGTTTTCTAATGTTTTAATAAATTATATTTTTCCTTTTATAAAAAGCGCAGAAGACGTGTCATATCCACTAAACGCATACAAAAATAAAATCTATTTTTTAGTAAATAATTCACAATATAAATCATATCATATTATTTGTTGAATTTCACAGTTTACCTTGCGTTATGATTTGAACAATTAAGCGCCACCCACTCTTCGAGCTCTAACTCAAGTATGGTCGAATGTATAAAATATTGTTTCAAACAATAGTATATTATTTAACGAGTGGTAATGCAGGTCATAACTCACGCAGATGAAGTTTGCAGCACGAGCCGCAGGCGAGTGCTGTAATTCATCAAAACTGATACACAGAAAAATACCAAATTTTAAAATTAAGCTTTGTTCCAGCGTCCAATGAACTGATTAGATTTTGAGCAGAGTCGGAACTTCTGGGGGGGTACTTTATAGGTGGTCATTTTTATATTTTATGGAATATATCTGTTATTTACGTTTGGGGACGAAAATTCTTCAAATAAAAGTTACTTCTTATATTAGTATCTATAATTTTTGTTTTATACAAAATTTTCCTAAAATGGTCCGTATTCGAGAAATTTGACAAAATGTAAAAAAATATTTTTTTATAAAAATTGTTTAAATAAAAGTTGTTTGTAATATAATTCTCTATAATTTTTATCCCATACATAATTTCTCTAAAATGGACCGTATTCGAAATTTTGAAATTTGAAGAAAACTCAAAAACGAATAAAAAAACATTAAATTTTAAACTTAAGTTTTATTTCGGCCTGACGTGAAATGATTAGATTTTGGACAAAGTCGGAACATCTGAGGGGGTACTTTATGGGAGGCCGTTTTTATATTTTATGGAATATATGTTATTTATGTTTGGAGAAAAAAATTGTTCAAATAAAAGTTACTTCTAATAATATTATCTATAATTTCTGCTTCATGTCAAATTTTCCTGAAATGGTGCGTATTCGAGAAATTTGACAAAATGTGCAAAATTCTGATTTTTATGAAAATTGTTGAACTAAAAGTTGTTTGCGATATCGATCTCTATAATTTTTATTTAAACATGATTTTTCTAAAATGGACCGTAATGAAAAAATTGCAGGAAATTTAAATTTTTCATTATTTTCGTTTTCAATGAATATCTATAGAAAAATGTTTCGAGGTAGATGTATGTGGACAATGTATATATTTAGTTTATCCTCTTAACATTTATACAGGTGCTGCAATAGGTTGTACAAAATAACCGGAAAAAGCCTATAATAACTAGATAGGAAAGTCATGTCTTGGACACATCAGATTTTTCAAACCGGTGTGAAGTTAGCAGGCAGTTCAACGGAAACACCCGAACGCCCAGTGGCGCCACAATGTATATTTTTATGAAGAGAACAGTGTATTGAAATGAAATTACTGACAAACAAAAGAGATTCAAGAGAGGATGAAGTGTAAAATGAAACAAAAATTAATTTTCCTGTAAAGAAAACGGAGTATTGAAATAAAATTGGGGCCCAATTGTTAGTGTATTGAAATAAAATTACTGCCAAACAAAAGAGCTTGTTAGAGAGAGGAAGGGTAAAATGAACAAAAAAACAAAAATGATTTTCCTATAAAGGAAACGGAGTATTGAAATAAAATTGGATCAGATTTTTAAATATTCTGTCCAGTTTAATGTTTAATCATAATACTAATAATAAAGGAGTGTAAATAGATCAGTAGAGAATATTCTGCTCTACAACTTTTCAAATAAATCCAAATGTCATTAATAGAGGAAACGAAATATTAAAAAAAAAACGATTTTAGGGACCTTTGACCTTGAATATTTTGACTAGCGTAAACGAGATTCTATGAGAGTTTTGAGCCAACTTATAAAATGTCAAAAAGATTTATACAATTTTACAGCTTATTATCTTTCATTTTGAGGTTACTTTGTTTGAACCTTATATTATTAAAACTGTATTATATTGCTTCTGCAAATACCCCAAAAATAATGAATTTTTTTGCCAATGTTATATTGAGAAGGTATAACTATTTTTCAATTTTTAGAGTATTTACATATACATTTTAATGTATAGGAAAAATTACATTTAATACTAGTAAATACCTATACATCCTTACATGCCTTTATTTGAGAATATTGGATAATAAAATATTCTTTGTTAGTTTACAGATTGCAGTTGTAAACCCTATCTAACAGACTCACCACCAAAATAATATTGTAAATAATATTTTCACCTTCTCTGAGTTATGAGCACCCTCTCGAAAATTTTAAATAAGAAAGGGGGTCGTGTAGCATCCTTCTTGAAATTTATTTTAAATCTCTCTTCAGAAATATAAAGCTTTTTAAATTTAGTGCAATCATAAATGCATTCTGAAAATATAAAATTATGATGACTCCATCATAAAACTTCACGTAGAATGAAACAAAGAATAAATAAAAGTTTTGTGATAGGGACATTATCAAAATTTTACAATTTCACAATTAATTTTCAGTTATCACTGCACCAAATTTAAAAAATTATATTGCTCAGGAGAGAATTAAAATTACTTTTAAACAATGTGCCACATGACTTCCTTTCTTGTTTAGTAATTTTGAGGGAGTGCTCATTTTTCAGAGGGGGTACAAGAAAGGGGTAATATTTTCTTAATATAAATTGTCAAATTAAAAATAGATATCAACCTGTTTCAGTTTTTTCTAAAATAACATAACGCTAAAAATGAATTTATTCCAATACACATGGATCGCACTGTATAATATATGTGTAACAGTGGCGGTCATACCTACGATGCCTATGTATGGTTTGAAAATTTGTATCCGAGATTTATTTTGATTACAAACAACTTTTTATTACAAACCTTTTGTTTTAAATAATAAATAATGATATTTCTTGAAATATTTTTGTTTTATCAATTTATGAACACCTGATCTAAGATTTTGATATGGTAATCGTATTTTTTCGTCAAGTAGAATTTTTAATAAAATATAATTTTTCTTCAAAAAAATTAATTAATACGAGAAGTCCATTCGTGGACACACTGTAAATACATAGTGGAAAATAAGTCTGAAAAGGCCTAATTTTCTTAAAAATGGGTTGTGCGTAATCTACAAACTTTAAGATTCGATGGTTTAAGTAAATGGCGATTACCTACTATTTTGTTCTTTACGCTTTTGTTAGATGGACCGTTTTTTCTATAATATTGGTTACTTTGGTATTTTAAATGCAACAGAATAAATTCCAAATGTGACATATCTTTGATCTATGATTGCAGAGAACAATCAGAAATGAAATAATATAGATGGTGTTGCATTTAAAAAAATCAGCGTTACAATCATTAGCGGAATAACGGCAATTATGGCAATAATGCAAATACAATTAGAATCGGCATATCTTCAACCCTCACATCCCCAATTTTGTAGATTTATGACAACCAGATTTTGAAAAAAATTAGACGTTTTGAGACTTATCTTCTACTCTATATTATCTCAAATGTCGCTGGTTCTAACCTACGTGAACAACAATATAAAACAAATATTTCATCATAATTTTCTCGAGACTGAAATTTAAAACTTTTAAGTAAACATTTATTCGCTACCCATCATTGAAAAAATTAAAAATCAGTAGAGTGAATAAATAATTAATTACCTACCTGTTATTTAAACTATCACATCTGAGCCTGATGGTAGCCCTTTCGCGAAGAGATATGACCGCCACTGATGGGTAAATATGGATTTTTTTTTGGTTTATGTAATATAAGAAAGTTTATTTGGATTGAAAAATCTATATAAGATTAGAGAAAAACAACACAACAATTTATTTTCCACCCAGAAAGTAAGAATTTCGATTTTTATTTTAAATTATATCCCTGAACTACCTAAATCCTAAAAAACCCCTTTTACATTCTAAAAAAACTAAATCTATTGGTACGAAGGTAGTGTAAAACGACGTTTAATCCAGACATAAAATAACACATGTTAGGATTTTTATCTAATAGGCAGAATCCCTTTGAAGGTCTGAGCGTCTGAGCATCTTGTTTCAGGTTAAAGGTCTTGTTCTTGTTTAAGTTCCAACGCCCACACGTGCTGCGGCCAACCTGTACGTCCTTTTGCCTTCCTCGAGTTGTTCAGGTCTTCCTGTTTAGAATAAAATGTATAAACAACTATTTTAGTTAACGACAAATTTGATGGTTTTCAAGAAAAAATGATGATCCTAATTTTTTTATTGAAACAGTGACACGTATTAAACAGCAACGCAAATTTTGAATTGTAGGTATCCCTTAAAATTTATTCAAAAAATATTCAAATCAAATATGTGTACGTACTTTGAAATTTTGTATTTTTTAAACGGAAGCAAGTAAAAACGACTTATTTCAAGCTTCAAGCAACTAAGTCTAATGTGCTTTTTCTTCAGTCGGATCAAGATATTCATGTTATACTATTAATCCACCTTGTGAACTGGTACAGAACAATATCATTTTGATACTAGTAATATAACTTTCATTTATCAGAAACTAGCAAGTTACCTCTGACAAGCGTTTTCTAGGTCTGTGATACCAGATACAATATTGCAAAAATTTGTGAAAGGATTGACCATCGTTTGGCCATTATTGCCCATGAAATACCTTTTTACTTTCCTATCTGTATACAGATATAAGGAAAGTATAGGAATCATGATTTTTTTCGACCTCGAGTTTTCGACGGATTTTTACGTTTTGAGGTCCCCTGAATCCGTTTTGACTATTTTCGCGATGATGTCTGTGTGTGTCTGTGTGTGTGTCTGTGTGTGTGTGTGTCTGTATAACGCATAACTCATGAACCGATACACAGAAAAACACCAAATTTTAAACTTAAGCTTTGTTTCAGCGTCCAATGAGCTGATTAGATTTTGGGCAGAGTCGGAACATCTGGGGGGGTACTTTATAGGTGGTCATTTTTATATTTTATGGAATATATCTGTTATTTACGTTTGGAGAAGAAAATTCTTCAAATAAAAGTTACTTCTTATATAATTATCTATAATTTTTGTTTTATGCAAAATTTTCCTAAAATGGTCCGTATTCGAGAAATTTGACAAAATGTAAAAAAAAATAATTTTTTATAAAAATTGTTCAAATAAAAGTTGTTTGTAATATAATTTTCTATAATTTTTGTCCTATACATAATTTCTCTAAAATGGACCGTATTCGAGATATTTGAGAAAATGTGTAAATTTCGAAATTTGAAGAAAACTCAAAAGCGGATAAAGGAAAAAACATTAAATTTTAAACTTAAGGTTTATTTCGGCCTGACGTGAAATGATTAGATTTTGGACAAAGTCGGAACATCTGGGGGGGTACTTTATGGGAGGCCGTTTTTATATTTTATGGAATATATCTGTTATTTATGTTTGGAGAAGAAAATTGTTCAAATAAAAGTTACTTCTAATATTATTATCTATAATTTTTGTTCTAGGTCAAAATTTCCTGAAATGGTCCGTATTCGAGAAATTTGACAAAATGTGCAAAATTCTGATTTTTATGAAAATTGTTGAACTAAAAGTTGTTTGTGATATCGATTTCTATAATTTTTGTTTATACATGATTTTTCTAAAATGGACCGTAATGGAAAAGTGCTAAATTTAAATTTTTCAGTATTTTCGTTTTCAATGAATATCTGTAGAAAAATGTTTCGAGGTAGATGTATGTGGAAAATGTATATATTTAGTTTATCCTCTAAACATTTATAGAGATGCTGCAATAGGTTGTACAAAATAACCGGAAAATGCCTATAATAACTAGATAGGAAAGTCATGTGTTGGACACATCAGATTTTTCTATAGATATTCATTGAAAACGAAAATACTGAAAAATTTTAATTTCCTACAATTTTTTCATTACGGTCGATTTTAGAAAAATCATGCATAAACAAAAATTATAGAGATCGATATCGCAAACAACTTTTATTTTAAAAACTTTCATAAAAATCAGAATTTTGCACATTTTGTCAAATTTCTCGAATACGGACCATTTCAGGAATTTTTTACAAAAAACAAAAATTATAGATAATAATATTAGAAGTAACTTTTATTTGAACAATTTTTTTCTCCAAATATTAATAACAGATATATTCCATAAAATATAAAAGTGGCCTCCCATAAAGTACCCCCCCAGATGTTCCGACTATGTCCAAAATCTAACCTTTTCACGTCAGGCCGAAATAAACCTTAAGTTTAAAATTTAATGTTTTTTTCTTTATCCGTTTTTGAGTTTTCTTCAAAATTCGAAATTTACACATTTTCTCAAATATCTCGAATACGGTCCATTTTAGAGAAATTATTTATAGAATAAAAATTATAGATAATTATATTACAAACAACTTTTATTTGAACAATTTTTATAAAAAATTATTTTTTTTACATTTTATCAAATTTCTCGAATACGGACCATTTTAGGAAAATTTTCGCGATGATGTATATGTGTGTGTGTGTGTGTGTGTGTGTGTGTGTGTGTGTGTGTGTGTGTGTGTGTGTGTGTGTGTGTGTGTGTGTGTGTGTGTGTGTGTGTGTGTGTGTGTGTGTGTGTGTGTGTGTGTGTGTGTGTGTGTGTGTGTGTGTGTGTGTGTGTGTGTGTGTGTGTGTGTGTGTGTGTGTGTGTGTGTGTGTGTGTGTGTGTGTGTGTGTGTGTGTGTGTGTGTGTGTGTGTGTGTGTGTGTGTGTGTGTGTGTGTGTGTGTGTGTGTGTGTGTGTGTGTGTGTGTGTGTGTGTGTGTGTGTGTGTGTGTGTGTGTGTGTGTGTGTGTGTGTGTGTGTGTGTGTGTGTGTGTGTGTGTGTGTGTGTGTGTGTGTGTGTGTGTGTGTGTGTGTGTGTGTGTGTGTGTGTGTGTGTGTGTGTGTGTGTGTGTGTGTGTGTGTGTGTGTGTGTGTGTGTGTGTGTGTGTGTGTGTGTGTGTGTGTGTGTGTGTGTGTGTGTGTGTGTGTGTGTGTGTGTGTGTGTGTGTGTGTGTGTGTGTGTGTGTGTGTGTGTGTGTGTGTGTGTGTGTGTGTGTGTGTGTGTGTGTGTGTGTGTGTGTGTGTGTGTGTGTGTGTGTGTGTGTGTGTGTGTGTGTGTGTGTGTGTGTGTGTGTGTGTGTGTGTGTGTGTGTGTGTGTGTGTGTGTGTGTGTGTGTGTGTGTGTGTGTGTGTGTGTGTGTGTGTGTGTGTGTGTGTGTGTGTGTGTGTGTGTGTGTGTGTGTGTGTGTGTGTGTGTGTGTGTGTGTGTGTGTGTGTGTGTGTGTGTGTGTGTGTGTGTGTGTGTGTGTGTGTGTGTGTGTGTGTGTGTGTGTGTGTGTGTGTGTGTGTGTGTGTGTGTGTATGTGTATGTATGTGTGTGTGTGTGTGTGTGTGTGTGTGTGTGTGTGTGTGTGTGTGTGTGTGTGTGTGTGTGTGTGTGTGTGTGTGTGTGTGTGTGTGTGTGTGTGTTTTGTCCGATTCGGCTTCTGAAAGAATGACCACACCAAGCACATCTCAATCGAATATAGAGATACCCAATCAGGACAACGCTCAACCTGGACCATCTGGAATGCCAAGAAAAATGTTGTCACCCTTTGATATTTCGCCAGTTCCGATATATAAAAAGGAAACAACTAATAGGGGTAGGAAAGCATCGCAAGCAGCAGTAATTACTTCCTCCTCCTATAAAGATGAATTATTGTTGAGCACTACCAATAAAAATAAGCAAAATGTTAAACAGGTGAAAAAAGTATTTTCTCAATCAGCCGAAAAGATCTCGATGTCCAAAGCATCAAAGAAGAATAAAAAGCAGCAGTCGATAGGTCTGAAGGTGAAGACGACGAAACACAGTTTACGCCAGCGGTGACGATTTAGATATATCTAGATGATATGCTTGGACAAAAGAAACCAGATTATTTAGATGCGGAATGCATATTCTGCGGAAGTAGATTTTCTGAAGACCGCAAAGGTGAACTCTGGGTTCAGTGTTTAATGTGCAGTTTATGGTGCCATGTGGACTGTGCCGGCGCTGACAGAGATGACTATGTTTGTGACTTTTGTCGCACTGATTAGTAGTGTGTTACTTTCGTAATTGCTCCTGTTTTTTCCAATTTAGCCTTTGAATAAAACGTTGTTCAAATACAATTTGAACACTCACGACATCAAACACCTCTACACATAAAAAACAGCGCCCATCTCTAACAAATATTCATTAAAGGCAAAACGGATAGGCTATCCACAATGCATGTCAATCTTTACAGGAACAAAGAATAGACTATTCACAATACACAACTAAGTAAAATGGGTTGCATACCGACCAGACCAATCAAATTCAAATAAAAGTCAGTTAGTAAATGGAGGGGGAATCATGTAACAAATATTTTTAGCGGTAAAAGAATGATCAGATAGCCACTAGCACTCAAGCTGTAACATCTCAAACATCTCAAATTTTAAATTCTTTAACTTTTATGTACATTCACCTTTATATGTCTTAACAAGTTTTTATTGTTGAAATAAACAAGTTGTGCTTATATTTGAAAGTGTTTTACTACAGTCAAGCTGCAGCACCTGGTAAGCTCTGCCCATTTTACGGAAAAGAAGTATTCATATGGTTAGCTCAAAATTCCAATAGCTAGGCCGCCAAACTAAAGAGGCGATAAGGTAAAGTAAAATACCCCCTCATCGCCCCGACAAACGTTTAGGTTAATATTTGTAGGTATTTTCTGTAGTAGCCCATATTTGTATCACTTTAAAAATGACTGCTATTATGTCACTCTTATTTGAACAAAATAAAATTTTAGAAAAGCTTCCGCAAAGAGAACAAAAATGGATCGCATAATGTTAATAAAAGGTTCTAGTTCACTTGTAAAAATAAAAAACGTAAATTTTACTAAAAATGTGTCAGATATGTCAATTAAACCAAATGGTAGCCCATATTTGTACCTTTTCTAATATTTAAAAATCGGAGGTTAACAGAAAAGGAGAGAGTTAGGCAAATATCAACATTTCAAAAGACGAAAATATGACCAATTGAATCATACTGGGGTGGTGAAGTGTCTAGAAATCAAAATTAAAGTGAAAAATCAGAATCTCCGGGGGTTGTGAATTTTGAAAATTGTCAGATTAGAATTTTAGATTGTCAGTGGGATTTTAGATGGCAAAATAGAAAA